CTCCCGACAATTCACGAAGGTTCGAGAAGGAAGTGGCGTGATACTAGTCACGTGACCTCGCTGACACAACAATATTTTTCAAATCTAGTTAAAGTTAATTGTGCTTGACGTCAGCTTTGTTATAACACAATGCGGTGTTAGTTGATATATAACTATTTTCAAAGGAGATATGATTACTAGTGTCGCTTCTTGTGGTCACACAGTTATGTTGTATACGCTTATCTTTTGTATGTAACGCTTTTGTTATTTTTTGAAAATTAATAATTGATTGTGTTTAGTTGTTAAGCGCGAAGCTACACAATGATCTTTTTGCGCGCTGCTCATTGCGAGTATCGAATCTCGAGTTTTAGCGTTGTAAGCCCTCAGAATTAGTGATGAGCTACCGCAGAGGAGGAGACGAATTGCTTATGAACTGTTGGTTGTAAAAACATATAGATAAATAGCTGTAAAAAAAGTTGATATATGGAATAATTTTCTTTTCTATATTTATTTTTACAACATTCGGTGATGTATCCTTTGTGTTATATTACCGTTTTATATATATGACTAATAATAATTATGTAAAAATAAGCAAAAACTTTGATAGCCTAATATTTTTAAGGTGTTCGTCTCGTTAAATAATATCTAGAACATATGTTTATCACGTAATGTTTAAAGTAAAAGTCATGAATAACTTTATTATATTAACTGATGCACACTAAGAGTAGCTATGGTAACAGAATATTATGGTGAACACTAGAGTCGCCCTATGATACTTTGCAATTTGTTACTATAGTTGCTGTACACGCACTATAAAATTATATTGTACCATAATTTAAAAGTTAAAGAAGTAATTAACGTTCAACTTGGTATTTGACGAAGAATGTAGCTCAGAGTTAGAGTATAATTTTATTACTAGTTGAAACATTGATTATTAATATTATTAGTAGTAAATTACAACTACAAGTATTGGTTGTAGGTGTAGTTCTAACAGAAAATACTTCAACTTGAGCAAGATAGTGATTTGAATAAGAGCCTATTACAATTAATAACAGGCAACGACAAACAAAGATGAGTCACACACTGTCGTTAAACTTGCATAATATTGTTTTCTTAGTGATAGGCCTAACTGTGGTAAAGTTAACTTTGTTAGGGTTGGGCTTTCTAACGTTAGTGAAAGCTACAAAGTTAAGGACATTTACTGTAGATAATCAACGAAACATTTTTTTAAAAGATGGGCAACCATTCAGATATATATCAGGTTCTTTGCATTACTTCAGAGTGCCTAATATGTACTGGAAGGATCGAATGAAAAAAATGAAAGCTGCAGGGTTAAATTCTCTTCAAACATATGTAGAATGGAGTAGCCATGAACCAGAGCCAGGGATGTACAATTTCTCTGGAGAGTTAGATTTAGTGAAATTTCTCAAAACAGCTCAAGAAGTAGGATTATTAGTGATATTTCGGCCTGGCCCTTACATCTGTGCTGAAAGAGACATGGGAGGGTTGCCATACTGGTTGATGAGAGAAAAGATGGATATAAAATTAAGAACAAATGACCCAACATACATGAAATTTGTAAAAAAATGGTTTAGTACTTTGCTTCCAATAATAAATCCATTTCTATATAAGAATGGAGGCCCAATTGTAACAATTCAGGTAGAAAATGAGTATGGACAAGTGGGTATATGTGATTTTGAGTACATGACTTCTTTAAGAGACGTTTTACATGATTACTTGGGGAAAGATGTAATTCTGTTTAAAACTGATATACCCCATGTGGGGGCTTATAAATGTGACAATATAGATGGAGTTCTTGTTACAGCAGATTTTGGGTCTGGTACTAATGTAAAAAAAGCTTTTGAAACTATAAGGTTATTTAGAAAATCAGGCCCCTTAGTAGTTACTGAATATTATCCTGGTTGGATGGGTCACTGGGGAGAGCCACAAGCAAATGTGAGTACAAAAATGATATGTGACACTCTTGATGATATTCTGTCTGCAAATGCATCTGTAAATTTTTACATGTTTCATGGAGGAACAAATTTTGGTTTTAAAAATGGAGCCAACATGAAGTATGCACCACAGCCAACAAGTTATGATTACACAGCACCCATTTCTGAAGCAGGAGACCCAACACCTCGATACATAAGTATTTCAAAAATTATCAGCAAATATGTTCCATTACCAGGACCATTACCAAAACCAGCTCCAAAGCTGTCCATTGGTCCTCTTACTTTAAACTGGATATCTTCTCTTTTGGATGCTATACCCTTTCTAAAAGGTCCAGATATTGTGTACTCAAAGTATCCTAAAACATTTGAAGAACTGAGCCAAGCTTATGGCTTTATGGTTTATTCAACAGTTGTAACATTTATTACCACTGATCCAGCAGTCCTTAATGTTCCTGGTTTACATGATCGAGGTTATATCTTTGTTGAGAAAAAATTTATGGGAGTATTGAGCCGATCAGAAAGGATATGCTCTCTTCCCCTTCAAGTTAAGCAAGACCAAATATTAACAATTTTGGTGGAAAACCAAGGTAGAATTAATTCTGGAAATATTCTGGATTCAAAGGTAAGTCATTAAATAATGTGTGTGTAAACACAAAATACTGAAATCTGTTATGGGATATCATAGAAGTGTGCTGTTTAAAATATTATATCTTTAAAAATTAAAAACTATTCAAAAACATATTTTTATACAACAAATATGTTTTGTATTTTATTTATTAATGTATAAGTTTATGACATGATGATTTTTAACAGACAGACAGATACTAATTTAAGGCTAATATTATTTTAAAAAGTAATGTGATACAAAAATATTTTAATTTAGCCTTTTGTTTAAGTAATATCAATTTTAAATCTTACTTAAAACATTAATTCTATCTTTTTAAGTAAATATTCTAATAACTACTTTATTGTATACATTTATTAGTAAAGGTAAAATACCTGTAACCAATTTCAAAATACTAAAAAGTATTTCATTTTACTCACTTTTTTAAGAGGTAACTTTATTGAGTAAGAGGCCCAAATTTAGAACACTAAAAAAACCTCTAAGTAACAAAATATCAGTTGATCCAATACACTAAACAACTGATTTTACCAGGAAAATTCAACATTCAAAAAATAATGTATAAAAGTCTTTGATTTTTTATTGTTTTTTTACTGAATAGAGTAGTATTTATCAAACATATGAGGCATAGTTTCGATGAAAATTAATATTGAAGTATTTTTTCAGGGTCTAGTTTCAAATGTGACATTAGGATCTACAATTTTGACCAATTGGTTAATCCAGCCTCTACCTCTAAATAATACTGATGCCATACGCAGTCTTCAGCTTTCTGAATCATCTGACCTGAAGAATGCTTTGAGCTATTCAACATCTTGGCCTCAAGTTCCAGGTTTTTTTTCTGTCAATTTTACCCTTCCTAAGTCATTGAAAGCTATGGACACTTTCTTAGATCCAACTGGTTGGCGTAAAGGAGTAGTATTTCTAAATGGGTTTAATCTCGGTAGATACTGGCCTGTGATGGGCCCTCAAGTTACACTTTATGTTCCAGGTTCTCTTCTTCATCTATACCCTAACAATAATACACTGACCGTGTTAGAACTAGAACATGCCCCTTGTTTTCCTTGTAATAGTATATACAAGTGCTCTATTTCATCCTTACCGAGCTGCAGCATTAAATTTGTCAAAATACCTATTTTAAATGGGCCAACACCATATTTATCATTGAATGAAAAACTGCATAAAGGACAGTATGTATACCACTAATACAGTGTAAAAGAATTAAGAAATGTAATTGAAGACAAATGTGAACACTATTTAACAAAAAATACATTGTGTATTATATACTAAAATAATAGTGTTTTTCATATTTCAGTTAAATAATGTTTCTAAACAATGATGTATTTACCTTTAATGTTTTTGCACAGGCCTTTATATATAAATAAATATATATATATATTATACACATACATGTAAGCATATATGTTGGATTTCACTTTAAATTTAACTGAATTTTTCACCTTTGTTTGAGAAACATAGTGCTACTACTTAAAGCTGTAACAAAGTGTAGACTTTTACCTTCATAGGTCAGAACATATTACTGAACAAACATTTGAACCTTCAATAGTACTAATTTGTATGATTTACTTGTCACATCACCATAACTACTAGTTTATATATCACATTGAAAACCTTTTAGTTTTTACAGGTAATCCATAGAAAAAATAAGAAAACATTCACATGTAGTTTAAAAATGTGTTATACAGAATAGTAATCATGTTTTTTATATTTTCATTGAAATAAAAAATTTATTTGTTTATGTACAGGTATTTAATGCTATGTGCAATACTCATATATTAAACTTGCATTGCAAGAGCACCTAATTGTGGCCAATTGAAAGAACTGCAGCTGACTTAAGCAAAACAAGTCTTTATTTAACAGCCACAGTATTTTTTAACATAAAATTGTTGATTAATTAAACATACCTAATAAACATTATAATAAATAAACAACCAAACAGAACAGAGTAACACTAACAGTTCAATTATAAAATAAATACATACCTTGAACTATAACAAAAAAGTTACAAGAGAACGTGTTGTTGTTATTAGTCACATTCTTTAACAACATTGTTGGTTAATTAAGCATGAGTGAAGAGTTACACTAGTTTCTTTTTTTTTCAACACTAAAATTATTAGTGTTAGCATATACTTTATGTTTTATAAATATTGTCCCATAACATTGATCCTACATCTTGTACAATAAGTACTCAGTAAGTCATTATCCCCCCTCTCTCCCATGCTTCACTATAATGGTCTGATCCAATGCCCAGAAGGAGCTGTTATGTATAACGTTGTGGTGGTGATGCATTGTTTTAATACAGTAGCTATTGTTTAATTAATGGGTATTATGCAAATCAAAAGATCACATATTCCATGTGAGTGACACATAATGTGTGATTAATATTCAAATAGTTTCAAACAGTTTATGTTAACAACAGAAAAATATCTAACACTGCTTGAATGTCATCTGATGAACCTTCAAATTCCCTGCTAGTAAACAAACCTTCCAACACCTCCTACTACTATTTAGTTTGATATGAAATATTACTAACTGTGATTTTTAATCACAATGAACTAACTGGTAAATAATTTTACCATGTATGGGTGGCATCAACTGTTGAACTATGCTGTGTTACCAAAAGCTTTCCTTAAAAATGGGGGTGAATCCAATTTTGGCACTAACCAAAACCTATATTCTATCACTAACAACCTCCATTCTTCTTGCAATGCAGCTCAAAATGTAGTGAGATTTTTGTATCTATCCCCTCAAGTGACATTACAAAATTTCACAGAGCAGTTGAATTGGATTTAGTTATGTATTTAGGGCTGGCCAAGGCAGGTTCTACACTGGATGTATATATATATATATATATATATATATATATACATATATAACAACGTAGTATTATTTACGTTAAGAACGACAATAAGAAACTAATATAGTAAACTTAAACTAGTAATTACGTTTAACCTTTAATTTAGTTACC